ATGGCTTGAAGGATAAGGGTTGCGCAGGAAAACCATTCGATACCATATTCCATGGTTGAAGCCTTAGGCTGTCACGACAGTCCTTTAAGCCTGATGATTGTGTATAGTGAAACAGGAGAAGGGGCCACCCTTCGCAGCTCAAGCTCATATTTCTGATGTTAATTTTATTGAGCTGGAATTCAGATTTGTTTGACAGGCTCTAGTTTCAGACTTCTGTTCAGAATGATAAATGTAATTTGAGGTTCCTTGAAACTGAATCATACTAGTAGTCAAGTCAGCGTTAGCTTTTGATAGACTGAATAGCCTTTTAGTTTAACGATTCATCTGCTTTCCTATTTAACTGTACTGTTAGATTTACTCCTCATAGTTCCGTTCAAGGGCTAGAACATCAGGATGTCGCATGGTCGAGGCATTGAACGCCTTGGTTTTTTGGCAGAAAGAAAGGGACAAATATATTCACGTCTTTTCCTTCCATGAAAGGAGGATTTGGAAATCGATCGCCTTGAACAGGAAGGACAGGCAGCCATTGGAGATTGGATTCCTGTAAAAAGCAGTTTGTCTCTGCAATCTTGTTCGGTTGGTAGGGGTCGGAAGTAATGTTTTATATGCTTTTAGCGGTTACGGGAATGCTCGAAATAGATATCTTACGAGAGAAGTAGTTTTGCTCGCTCTGATGAATGTTCGAAATTTTTAAAAATCAATTGCAATTTCGACATGCCATGCCCTCATTCTTTGATTGTCCATCTCTTCGTTTTATTAGAAATAAAAAATTTTGGCTCTCCAAGAAACTGATGTTCAACAAAATAATCTCAAATATAAATTCAAATTCAAATAAAAAAATCATCATGATAATCTTGGTAGATACTGTGTGTGTATATATATATATATATGCATGCATATATGCATATAAATTCAACTCAAACTTTACATATGATGTATAAAGATATAACACCAAAATCTATATGTATAAAATGTCACTATATTGATATAAATATTTTTAACTATTGTAAATTGAGGTTTAATGATATTTTTAATTATTTATTTATTAATTATTTTAATATTTATTTTGCTGTTTAATTTAAGATTTATTTTGCTGTTTAATTTAAGATTTATTTTATGCCTTCTATCTTTATAAATTTTAAAGTAATGTTAACTAACGTTATGTTAATGTAAAAATTATTTACATAATAACGTAATAATGCAACACTAATTTTAATTATGTACTTAATCCGGAAGATTAATGGGCCGGGCAGCCCATAATCGTCAGGTCCGGGAGTCATAAAACCCTACTCAAAAAATTGACTATATAATCATCTTACAAACCCTAGCTGATACTCTTTGATGCCAACAGCCTCTTCTCTCTTTTGGCCAAAAAAAAAAAAGAAAAAGGCCTCTCTCAGAACGCCAATCTTGCGACATTGACAATGGTAAGCTGGTTTCTTCTTCGTCTCTTAGTATTGTCCCCTGCATCTGGAGAACACGATAGACGTTGTTCGTGCGTCTAGGTTTTCTATTTTCTTGCGTGGATTTAACGTTTTAGATTAGAGTTCAATTTCTTCCGAGTTTCTTTATATACGTGTTATTTGTGTCTCTGGATACATGATTGTGTAAAGATGCTCTGTCTCTTTTTGTTGTGTTAAGTAGTGGATACAAGCGAACGCGTAGATTAGTTTTGTTCAAACAATGGTTTACGAGTGCTCTTGTTGGTTTTCTCGTGTTTATTTTTTGGTTGATTTGAAATTTGTATTAGTATTTAGATTCTCTTTCTATGTTTTGTGGTTTAGATCTCGTCATTTTAAATGCTTATGCTTCTATCTGTACTGGAGTGATTTTTGAATCTGTGCACGCGCAGTCTCTTGTGGCGAACGAGGATTTTCAGCACATATTGCGTGTGCTGAACACGAATGTTGACGGGAAGCAGAAGATAATGTTTGCTCTGACTTCGATCAAAGGTGTCGGTAGGCGATTTGCTAACATCGTCTGCAAGAAGGCTGATGTTGACATGAACAAGAGGTTTGTTTGCTTTGTTGTTGCCTTTAGCATGTTTATGATTGTCGGGTTGTGATCAAACCCTCACAGAAGAAAATAAAATGAGAAAGATGGGTATGTATAAGAATGAATCTAGTAAGGAAAAAATCAGTTAACTCTCTATATTTTACTGTCCTTTATACTTTTTGTTAGTTCATCTACTTGTTATATTGAAACAGAAGAAAGACTAAAAACATAGAATCATTATATTTCAAAAAAGAAAACATAGAATCATCTGCTTGAATTTTTTTTTTTGTAAGCTCCCATGATATCCTAGTATTCCTTTTCCCATTTATCTCATGTATGCTAGTCTGTGTCGATGGTAAATTTTAAGTGGGTTCTGATATTTGAATTTCAGTTTTTATCTTGATGTAAGATTTCAGTCTCCATGAGTTTTTTACTTTTTTCTTCTCTTGGCTAGTCAAAGTTGATGCAAGGCAAAACCAGTTTGCTTCAAATGGAGCCTGTGCCTCTAACAAATGTACCTTGTAAATCAAATTGGAACTTGATGTGCTCAATGTGTATGATTACTTGCGCGCCATTCTAATTTCATTGCTTGTTTCTTTTCTTTTTTTTCCAGAGCTGGCGAGTTGACTGCTGCTGAGCTTGACAATCTCATGGTTATTGTAGCAAATCCACGTCAGTTCAAAATCCCTGACTGGTTCCTGAATAGACAGAAGGATTACAAGGATGGGAAGTACTCTCAGGTTGTATCTAATGCTTTGGACATGAAGCTGAGAGATGATTTGGAGCGCTTGAAGAAGATCAGGTAATTTCTTGTCCAATATATCCTATAGCATCAAAGAACTGGTTCTCCTCAGTGAAGTTGTCATGATTCTTATATCTTAGATAATAAACTAATTTATTCATTTATTCAAATTATGGACAAAGCAATCAATTTGTTGTTCATATTTTTTTCCTCTCTCCAAACTTAACCATTGGCAAATCAAGTGGGTTAGTATTAAGGTAAGGCCAAATGGATATTTCAAAATAAAAAAGCGGGGCCAAATGGTAGTTTTACAGCCATGGTAATCTGTCTACATTTTGATAAGATCTTTGTGCTATATAACAATTTTGTGGTGCAGCAATTTGCCTGCATGACAATTTGCAATTTTTGTGAAATGCATGTTATGCATTATCCCATGAATCTCTCATTATCTTATAATTTATCATATTGTGAAAGTGCTTGTCGTCGAGTAATTTTGGGATATTTGGTTCCTAACATTTGTGATATTTGTTAAATTTGATCTCGTTTAGCTGCTATTGATGGTTTGTCTGGTTTTATTTCGAGCTCAATCTCTCGCTCCTTTTTCGTGCAGGAACCACCGTGGTCTAAGATCTTTGTGCTATATAACAATTTTGTGGTGCAGCAATTTGCCTGCATGACAATTTGCAATTTTTGTGAAATGCATGTTATGCATTATCCCATGAGTCTCTCATTATCTTAGAATTTATCATATTATGAAAGTGCTTGTCGTCGAGTAATTTTGGGATATTTGGTTCCTAAAGTTTGTGATATTTGTTAAATTTGATCTCGTTTAGCTGCTATTGATTGTTTGTCTGCTTTTATTTCGAGCTCAATCTCTCGC